GCTGCAGGGCCTCCCGGGCACGTGGGCTCGGGGTCCCGGTTACACTGAGGAGTTGCACACAGCGAGGCTGTAACTCAGAACCCTACACGTTGTTACTCCGGGTTTTGAAATGACGGGGCCCACTTTTGACAGCTACCTCTGTCATTGCTCAACAGGGAAGCTGCTTCAGGCCCTGGCCTCCTGGGGGGGTGAGGTGCTGGGTGCCAAGCCTGCCCTCTGCCACCTCCTGCCTGGGAAGGGCCCGGAGGGGCTGAGTGCTGTCTGCTGGAGTGGAGGACCCCGGACCCGACCAGGGCGTGTGTGTGTGTGTGTGTGTGTGTGTGTGTGTGTGTCCCGCCCCGGGAAGGGGCACTGGGAGGGCCAGCTCCTGTGCCTCCACCACAGCTAGCAAGGGCGCAGGCAGCCTGGCCAGGCAGTCCCGGCCCGTCCTGTTTGCCAGCTGAGCGCAGCTGCTATTTTAAGGTGCTGATGGAAGGCAGTGTGAGGAATGCGACCCCAGATGGGGAGAGGGCAGGCGCTGGAGGGGCAGCCGGCCACAACCTTGTTCAAAATGCAGGTTCCAGTCCCCCCCCCCCCCAAGAGTGGAACTTCTCCTCCTACTGAGGCCAGCCAATGACAGTGGAGATTATGAATGAGAAAAACATTTATTCCATCTCAGAACCAGCCTAACAATCTGAGGGGGGGAGGATGTCTTCCCCAAAAAGCTTTCTAACACCTTCAGCACAGCCTGGGGGCTGTGGGGACACCCACACCTCCTACCTAAGGCAGAATATTTACATAAAGCTGGGTGTTGTCAGGCAAAGCCCCTCCCTGCTGTGGGGAGGGGCAGGGAGTGGTAGGAGCAGGGGCAGGAAGTGCTGCCCAGTGGCCCTGGGTGGGCACCAGCCCTGCCCGGTGGCTGGCAGGAGGGAGGCCCGGAGGCACTGGCACAGGGGAGTGACCCCGGCCAAGCGAGCAGACCCCGCAGCAGCCAGAGGGCTGCCGCCTCAGGGCAGGCAGGGGAGGGCACCAGCGAGGGACAGTTCCCAGAAGCCCCCGGGAGCAGAGAGGGCACTGAGGTGGGCACTGAGGCAGAGGCGGGCAGACCTGAGTGAGGAGGAAGGGAGCGCCAGCCCCACACCAGCACCAGCAAGTGGGAGCCCCCCCGGCCTCATCTTTGGCAGAGAACCCCAACTCCCTGTGGCCACGCGGGCCTGGGCGGGGCCCGGCTCCCTGTGGGCTTGGGAAAATGGAGAAGATGGAGAAGAAGCTGAAGGTGATGGCCGCTCGGGCCGAGTCCGCTCCCACCAGCACATCCTTTGGGTTGGTGGCTGCCCACTGGTTGGTAAGGAAGCAGAAACCCACGAACCACAGGAAGGTCCAGAGAGCTGGGGAGGGGGCGGGGGGCAGGGTCAGCTCCACAGACCGGGCGGGCAGCTCCCAGAAGCCTCCGGGAGTGGAAAGGGCGCTGAGGCAGACGCCGGGCGGGCACTGGGTGCCATCTCAGGAGGCCTGGCTCCAAAGCTGCCAGGCGGGGCTGGGGACCATTAGAAGCGGTGACGCATGTCTAGCTAAAAACTCTTCTTTAAAAATGCCCTGAGGAGGGTGGGTGCTGCCTGGGGCCTGGGCACTCCGGCAGGGGAGGCGGGGGCTCTCCAGCTGGTGCCTGGGCTCCCACAGGCCCAGTGGGACCAGAGAGGCCAGCAGCCCCTGGAGGCACACCTTGCGGGCGAGAGGAGTCCAGGACCCAGGGGCAGCCCTCCAGGCACCCTCCCTGCCCCGTTACCATCCCCTGGGGCGGCTCAGTACACAACGGGAGGCTGGTAACCCTCGGTGGCCTCGGCGTTCTGAGTGAAAGGAGGCTGCTGGTAGCTGTCCACTGGTGGGCCCGGGTAGGAGGCGTAGGCTGTGCTGGGGTCGGGGGTGGGGTCCGCGTAGTTCTGCATAAAGTCGTCCACCCCGGCCTTGTAGCGCTGGTAGGCCAGGGCGGCCAGCAGGCCCTGCAGGGAGGCTGAGGT